TATATATAGTATGTATATGTAACAACTCCCCAAGATAAATATATTCATTATGTAATGCAAACACATGCTTAAAAAAAGTTTTTAAAATATTAGCTATGACAATGAAAGAACTTATAAAAGCATAAAGAAAAGGAAATCAAATCAGTAAACAAGTAACTCCATTATGGCATGGTAAATGTCCATCTATAAAAAGTATTCAGAGTGTGGGAACTTTACCCCAAAAAGCTGACATGTGAGTTTTAAGATAGAAATGAAAAGTTAGGAGGGCCAGGGAGATAGCTCACTAGAATAAGCGATTGCCTGGCAAGTGCAAGGGCCTGAGTTCAATACCCAGTTCTAACCAAAAAGAAAAAAAATAAAAGTTAGGAGGATTAGGGGAAAGCATATTCTAGGCATGACAAGCAACAAGTGCAGTCTCTGAGAATTTACAAAAATGTTTTGTGGGAAATGTTGACTAACCAGGAAAACAAAGAGTTAAGGCTGGGTTAGATAGCCAAATAGGACCTACATCAGTGTTTTTTCAAACTACTTTTTGTTATGAATCTGGTGTTTTATTCCTGATATCCCATGGTCTCGTATTTTTGGTCCAGACTCAATTTAATGAGACAAGGTCACTGATGTACTTTATGTCATGACAATTCAAACTGTCTCTAAATGCTCAAGTTCAGTTCTTCACCAAAGACTAGGAATAAACTGTTTCTAGTCTGGGTTGGTCCACAAATCACCTTCTTAACTGTACTGAGCTAAATCATAAACGATTTTATATCGAAAACAGTGTGGGGCCAGCCAGATTGCTCAGTAGATTAAAGTGCCTGCTTAGGCAGATGCAGGGGCCAGGGTTTGATCCCGGGCCTGCCATGCAGGCCCCACCCCCAGGGCTTGCTGAGACAGTGAATGAGACAGGGAGTGGTGACACGTGCCTGTAATCTCCACACATAGAAGGCTGAAAACCAGGAAGGATCACTACAAGTCCAATCTGTGTAGTGAGACCCTGTAGATCCTATACTAAATAAATTAAAAAAAAAAGAAAGAAAGAAAGAAAGCAGCCAGGGAGATGGCTCAGTGGAATAAGTGCTTCCCTGGCAAGCGCAAGGGTCTGAGTTCAATCCCCGGTTCCGCAAAAAGAAAAAAAAAAAGAAAGAAAGAAAGAAAGAAAGAAAGAAAAAAAAAAAAAAAAAAGAAAGAAAGAAAGCAAGCAAGCAATGTGGAGAAATTGAAGTGTGTTTTTTTTTCTGATTTCTTTTTTTGTAAATCATCACCTTTACTAGATAATTTACAATGGTGAGATAAAGATACTATTTTAAAGTATGACTCATTAAACTTAATAAATAAATCCCCTAGCAATGACAGACTGAGAAAAACACTGGCAATTCATGTAACAAAGAGTTATATACATTTTTGCTATTAAAATCTTTGAAGTGTTCAAGTGATTAGTCTCACTAAAGTTGTAACTGGAGTCTAAACTATTTAAGGAAACTAAATAGTCAAACTTGTAATCAATGTTTTTGCTCTTTTTTTTGTTTTTGTTTTTTGGTTTGTTGCAGAACCAGGAATTGAACTCAGGCCCTTGGGCTTGCCAGGGAAGGAAGCACTTATTCTACTGAGCCATCTCCCCGGCCCACTGTAATCAATGTTAAATGCTCAATAAAATGGTTTTCAGTGTTCTTTTATTAAATATAGTAATGAGCACCAAAAGAAAAAAAGGAAGGAGAGTAAACTGATTGATAGATTAAAACTAATTTCTAAAATAATTTTCTAAAAACTAATTTCTAAATATCACTATGATATTTAGCATATTTTGAAAAGAATTCAAAAAATTCAGAAGGGTGAGGTAAAAAGGTCACTATGAGTTCAGGACCCGCTTGGACTATATAATGAGTTCAAGGCCAGCCTTAAATACATGGTGAGACTCTCTCAAAACACACCAAAAAATGTTTAATTTAAAAATTCTTAGAACTGATAAGGAAAGA